TAAAGAGAAATTCTGTCTCAAAAAAACAAAAAGCAACAAACAAACAAATAAAACATACTAGGACCTTTGACAAATTGAATCTTGGCGACTTGGGTTTCTTCATCTATACAGGAAGGGGTAAATGCCCATCTTTTGGCATCACCATGTGGTAAAGGGCCTTTGTCTTCAGCCCTGGATCTGCTGCTGAGCCCTGAGGCCCCAGTGGGAAGCTCCAAAGCCCTGGTTTACTCAGCTGGTATTGAAACAAAAAGACATAGGTGAGAGGTGAGGGTTTGAAGGGAGGGAGACTAACCAGCTCCCAGGGTGGGGCTCAGAGAGAAACACATTATATATGAACATAGAAAATATGTAGTGAGTATATCCAGTGAGCTAGCTTAGCAAGTGAAGATACTCACCCCAGCCTGACCACCTAAGTTTAACCCCCAGGCTCCAGCGTGTAGAAGGAGAGAACTGACCTCATTGGTACCCGCTGGCTTCCACATGTGTGCATGACACACACTCACAAAACAAGAAAGATATAAAAAGAAGAGAATGTACCATATGCATGTATGAGGTTGTCAAAGAATACATTTAGTACACTTTTCTTTTGCTTGTTTGACTTTTGGTTTTGTCCTTTAAGAAAGAACAGAGTTTAGTGCTTGTAAACAGTTGACTGAAACAGGGTATCCAGGAAGAGTCCTGTTGGGGGACCCAGCGCTGATGGTGGAGCAGAGACCAGCGGCCTCAAACCAGGTCAATGATTCTTTGTGATGAACGCCTGCAAGTAAAGATCTGTGGATAGAGGGGTTTACTGTGTGACTCACTGTGTCACACTGCAGCTTCCAGGGTGAGATTTCCCCTTCCTTCCTTCCTTCCTTCCTTCCTTCCTTCCTTCCTTCCTTCCTTCCTTCCTTCCTCCCTCCCTCCCTCCCTCCCTCTCTTTGGCCAGTATAAGCCACCACATCTGGGCAGAGAAAGGGAGTGGGAGATGGGCAAACAGAGAAGGTAGGAACAGGGTAGCGGCTGAGTCCTGCCTATCCCTGAAAACATGTTTCAGGGATATTTTGAGTTTATTCCACATACAGTGTGAAGGCACCAGAGAGATTTAAACAAAGAAATCAATGGCTCTTCCTGTTTCATGGGAACTTGTGACAAGCTTCTCTGCCTGTTGTCATGCTCATCTCTCTTATTCCCCTGGGGCCTGGGGCACCTCGCTGTCTGGTCATTGTAAATGCTAACTGCAGCATGCACGTGAGCAGAGGAAGCAATTGACCGTCTAGAGCAGCCTTAATTGTAGGGCATCCACGGGATCCAAAAATCTAAACTTTAATGAGTTTACAGCTATCCTGGTGGAATTTTATTAGAATGCAGTTTCTGATTCAGGAGGTCTCAGATAGCCTGAGATTCTATATTCTTAGCAAGCTCCATTGCCACAGCTTATGCAGATTGAACATCCAGGGTTCGGAAATCAGGCTGGGAGTGTGGCTCGGGGATATCTCAATCGGTAAAGTGTTTGCCTTGCAAGCATCAGGACCTGAGCTTTTGATCCCCACAGCCCACATTTAAAAAGCCAGGCATGGTTCCACCAGTTTGCAACCCTTTTCCTTGCTAGGGAAAGAGGGACAGGAGGATGCCTAGGACTTATTGATCAACCATCCTAGATGAACTGGTTTAGTTCCAGACCAGTGAGAGACTGTCTCAAAAAACAAGGTGGATGATAAGTGAGGAATGACACCAGAGATTGTGTTCTGGTATTTACATGTACACATGCACGCACTTGCACACACGTGAACTCATGCGCACACACACACGCACCACAAGAAACCATCGTATGTCAGGCGTTTGAAACAGTAAGAATAAGCTCATGGGCTGCAGGCACTCAACAAGCTGAGGTGGGCTGATGCAGGTTTTTCTCTCTGGTCTCCTATCCTTGTCATCAGTTCCACTAAACACCCAGGTCCCTCGTGACTTCTAATGGCTGCTGCAGCTTCAGAAATTATTCTCGACACTGCAAAGCTCAGAAAGAGGAAGATACAGCAATGACTCAGATGGACGATTAGTCTAACAGTGTCTAGATTTACCCAGGAGCCAAATCTCTAGGCTTGTCTGCAAGAGAGTTTTCAGACTGGCTACACTGAGGTGGAAATACCCACCCTGAATGTGGACAGCACCATACCATGGCCTGGGGTCCTAGACTGAACAAAAAGGACCAGCATCTATTTCTCTCTGCTTCCTGACTGAGGAATGTGACCAGCCTCCTCACGCTGCTATTGGAATGCTGCCCCCCATGGCGGACTAAACTCTGGAACTAAGACAGAATGAACCCATCGTCCTTAAGTTGCTTTTCTTAGGTATTTTGTCATAGCTATGAAAAAAGTAACTAATGCAACATTATATCTCTGTGTGCCCTTAGTGGAGAGGACCCTGTGTTGCAAAGAGAAGTCTTCACAGAGAGAAAGCCTCCTACAGACTTCTCCCAGAAGCTAGAGTCTCAGAGCTAGAATTAGATGATGTGCCCAGCCCTAAATCGATCAGACATCCATGCTTGACCTGAATGCAGCAGGCTCTGCAGCTGGAACCTAGCCGCTGTGAGACAGTGGACAGTGACAACAGCCTGACCACATAGGACAACAGGCACTGCGGCTTATGTGACCACATGCGTACTTTTTATATAGACTAGGAAATACGTTTTTACTGAAAAATGATAAACCTGCCTTTAAAATGCAGCACAATAGGCATTTACATATGTAAGTGTGTGGAAATACACATGCTGGGGGGTGTGGCGAGGGTGCAGACTTGAGAGTACTAGAAGCTGGGACCCTGCCCGCTCCCCTGAAATCTTGTCCTGTTGGGGCCCAAAGCATAAAGAGCTACAGCAACCTGCTAGATCACTCAATGACGATTTTTGCTCTCTTGGCCCACAGTAACTGAGTAATATCTGTAAACAAAGAACTGTGTCAGGGGCTGTGGGAGATGGGAAGATTAGACCCCAGGGCCTTCCCCTATGAATTCTGCTGTTTGAGACGTATACACACAGAGCTGGGAGCGCAGCCCAGTTGACAGAGTACTGGCCTAGCATGCACGAAGCCCTCCAACCTCCTAGTCCCCGAAGCGCTGCACCCGGGGCCGTACAGAGTGTGGTACACATTTGCAGTTCCAGCAGTGGGGAGGAAGAAGCAGGAGAGTCAGGAGTTCAAGGCCAACCTTGGCTCAACAGCAAGTTTGAAGTCAGCCCAAAATGCACGACTCTATCTCAAAACCAAAATTAAGGCACACAGATGACTAATGATGGGTGTAACACATAAAGAGAGAAAGATGGCGAAACCCAGGTGACTATGGTGGCACACGTCTGCAATCCCGACCCAAAAGAGGTAGAGGCAGGAGGATCAGGAGGGCAAAGTCATCATATAGAGAATTCAGGCCATTCTAAATTAGATGAGACCTGGACTCGAAAAGGTGTGGGAAAAAGGTCTCTGAAAACCCAGAGAAGAAAAACAATATCACTGGCGAGGAAAGTCATGTGGGTGACTGAAAGTGAATCTTACCTAGTGCCAATGTTGAAAGATATTATTTTAATTCTCTCTCTCTCTCTCTCTCTCTCTCTCTCTCTCTCTCTCTGTGTGTGTGTGTGTGTGTGTGTGTGTGTGTAGTTCAGAAGAGGACCACTTGCAGGAGTCCCTTCTCTTCTTCCATCATATGGGTTTAAGGATCAGACTCAGGTCGTTTTGCTTGGAGGCAAGCAACCGCTGAGCAATCCATCCAGTCCCAAGATGAGGTTTTTAATAGTTAGTAGTGATGGAAAGGAGAGAGGGAAAAGAGGAACCAATAAACCAACGGGCCTTCCCGGGTGGGGAAGGGCTGCATCCAACACAGCAGCTGCAGGAAGTGGACAGAACAGAGGAGTTAGTCTTCCGGAGCCTTTCTGCATATGTCTGTGAAGAGCATCAAGTCATGAAGGGAGGGAGACCAGAGAGCACATGGGAAGTGGGACTCCTGAGTGACCTGTTTAAACTTCCAGTGTTTTAGGATTAGATTTGAAGTCTTCTCCACAAGTAGGAATTCAGACCTGGTACTGTAAACCCAGTCAAAAACTTGTGGCTGGCGAGGGCCCTGCTCTGTAGGAGAACCTACTGTTGTTGTTTTGCTAAGTCAGTTGTTGCCAAACTGCCTTCTAAATATTTTTTGCCTATTCCCACAGATTAGTGCAGCTCCCAGCCTTGGCCAGAGAAGCTGCCCTCTGCAGTGGGCGGTAGTTCATGCAGAGATTCATAACTGGTCAGAGTGCTGACAATTACTGTCTGTTGAGTGTTCCACCTTATAGAACAGCTCTGTCAACCCAACTTCTGATTCAATGCTCAAGGAGAATCACAGGAGGGTAGAGAGGATGTAAGAGCCGAAGGACGGGAGGAAGGCTGTGAATGCTGCCTTCTGGATAGGACATGGCCATTGCACCCACCAACTCCTGCAGCTGTGGCTGTCTGCCCCAGACCTGCACAAGGTCAAGTCAACAAGATCAGTCAGCAGTCCAGCAGGCGGCACTAATTGAAGGCAGTGGGTTAATAAACCAGGAAGTGGAGGGGGGAGGGGATGTATTGAGGGCTCTTAGTCCGGGCTGGGGGTGAATATGATCAAGATACATTGTTTGCTTGTATAAAATTGTCAACGAATAAATAAAAGATAAAGTGTTTGTAAAGAGTATGGATACAAAGGCATGTGGGAATTTCTTCAAAATAATAGAAAGTACGGACGAAATTTGATTGGCAGAGACTTGGTCATGATTGCAGAGGGGGAAGCAGAACTTCTTTTTAGCTGTCTAAAAACTCTGCTAATGTATAAAGTTTCCATTAACCAAAGTGTGAAGCTGGGACGGGGAGCGGGGAAGGGAGCAGAAGGTACAGTAGGAGGTCCCGCCCACTGGGCTGGGAAGCCCGGCCCCCATCTGCTCCTTCAGACTCCGTGGTGTCGCCAAACTTTCTCAGCTCCTCTGGGGAATCCATTGGTTTTCCACAAGTAAGTGGCGCTCTCTAGCCTTTCTCGGGCTCTATACTCTGCTTAGAGCCCAAGAAATTCGCCCTCGCCCCTGAACAAAAGCCGTCCAACTTCCCCCGTGTTTGGGGACTGTTTGGGCGCGTCCCTTAGCGTAGCCTGGGAATGCGTCCCCGTTGTCATGGCGACGCTCTGAGTAGGTTCCTGCACGCTGCCGAATCCCGCCCCGGAACTATCATCTGCAGGGTAAGAGGCCTCGGACCCGGGGCTTGAGTGTCCCAAGGTTCCCGCTGAGCTGCTAAAAAGGAGAGCCCCAGGCGGCTGTCCAAAAGGTGTTCATCTTGGGACTAGGTCGGGGGAGGATTTGGGGGACTAAAGAAATGATTGGAGGGAGAGTCTGAGTTCTACCCAACCCTTAGCATGGGCTGGGGTTAAAGGAAGAGGGGATTAGGCAGGGTGAGGCCCTGCTCAACTTGAAAAAAATGAATGTAGTGTCTGCCCTGGCAATGCTGAAGCATGCATGGTCAGCCTGTATATGGCGGTTCTGTTGAACTTGTCCATATTGGGTTTCATGGTCTAAGTTGATGACCCAGGAGGTTTCTTCCTCAAGAGGGCACCAGATCTCATTACAGATGGTTGTGAGCCACCACGTGGTTGCTGGGAATTGAACTCAAGACCTTTGGAAGAGCAGGAAGTGCTCTTAGCCGCTCAGTCATCTCTCCGCTCAGCTTGATCCTACCTGAAATACCGTGTAGGGACAAGAGCAGAAGGGGTTGGAGGGTGAACTAGGGGCCCTGCATTGGAAGATGTGAAGGAGGAGGGTTGAAGTGGTCCCATGGCTGTGCTGAGGAGCAAGCCGCCTTTGCTCTGAAAGGGGTTGCGGGCAAGAGGATAGACCAGCTAACTGATTTTTAAAATGACTGTTAGGCAGCTACTGTGTGCCTCACTGTATTCTGTGTTCACTGGGGTCTTCTCCAATGCTGTGAGACTTCTCCAAGAAAGACAAAAGCAAAACTCATAAACATGCATTCTTGATTTTACATTCAATTTCAAGAGCTCCTCTGAGCGGCCCCATGGACTCTGGTTAAGAGTTGTGTCTGATTGAGAAAATGTGGTGTTTGTGGCCAGTGAGATAGCTCACGATGACCTGAGTTCAATCCCCAGAGCCCACATAAAAGTGGAAGAGAGAACCAATTCAGGTTTATCCTCTGATCGCCACATGCACATTGCTGCTCCCACCATGTACACACATAAAAGAATAATATTTTCAAAAATGTGGAGTTTCTAAAGTTCTGTTTCAAGGAAATACATTGTTAATGCCAAATGACTTATAAACTAGTAATTGAGAAAGGATGTTAGAAGGGGTTGGGAATCTGTGTTTATGAGAGAAGTAGAATTGCCAATGACTGTCAAGGACAGTAGGGACCCACAGAGTTCCCAGGCATGCCCAGGTCTCTGAGACCTGGCCACCTGTGGGCTTCATTACCTCTCTGTCACCTGTTAGCAGAGGGGGAAGGTGATTTAGGAATGCCTGTATCTTTTGAGTTGGCAATATTGAAGGGACCCTTGTTCACATATTTCTGTGGATGTGATGTGGAGACAGGAAGAATTTTAATTATCAACTTGACACAGTCTAGGATCATCTGTAAAGAGAATCTTAATGAGGAATTATCTAAATTAGATTGGCCTCTGGGTATCTGTGGATTGATTGTTAACTGATGTGAGAAGACTCAGTCCATTGTGGGTAGCGCTATGCCCTAGGAAGGAGACTCAGCCTGTTGTGGGCAGCACTATGCCCTAGGCTAGGAGACTCAGCCTGTGGTGGGCAGTGCTATGCTCTAGCCTAGGAGACTCAGCCTGTCGTGGGCAGTGCTGTGCCCGAGGCTAGGCCCTGCACTGTGTAAGCGTGAAGAAAGCTAGGAAGCAAAAGGAAGACAGTTAACATGAGAGGATTCATTTCTCTCTGCTTTTGACTGAGGATGTTAATGTGACTAGTTGTTTGAGTTCCTGCCTCAACTTCCCCTTGATGATCTGGAGTTGTAAGGCAAAATAAACCATTTCCTCCCCTACATTGCTTTTTATCAGAGTGTCTTGTCATAGCAACAGAAAGGAAACTAGGAACTTTCCAAACTTATGAGGCTTTGAGACACCACCCCCCCCTTGTGTGCCTGAGAGGCATCCCAGAAGCACCCTTCAGACAAGCCCTGAAGAGTCATGGGAGAGTTTGGAGCCTGTTGCCATATTGGGTTATGGTGTGTGAGTCAAGTGATTAATGAGACAGCCGTGTGTGGGAATGCAGCGTCCAGCAGATGGGAGCAAGGGGGGCCAGAGCCGCAGCACACCACGCTGGGACAAGGGGTACATTTGTCAAGAGCTAAGAAGAAACATGTGTGTGCTTCCTCACAATGAGTCTACCACTCCCGTTTTTCTCCCCAGGAAATGACCTTTGACTCTAGAAGGACAACTCCAGTTTTCACGAGAAGATGGCAATCGTGAGACTGGCCATGCAGGAACTAAAGACTGAAGAAGAACCCATTGAAAAAGTGTCACCCATCCTCTTGAAGAGCCTGGTGGAGGAGCCCAAGAAAAGAGCAGAAGTGCCCAACCATCTCCTGGAGTCCAGTGAGTGCGCAGCCACCATTTGTCTATGAACAGGGATCCAAAGTCCAGGAAGTTGGGACTGGGGGTGCTGGTTTAACTGTATTGTCTTATAGGCTCATAATAGTTCTTATTAAGAATGGTAGTTCTGTTTAAATCAAGCTGCTTAAATGGTAGATTTAAAAAATTATTTTTATTTTCATTTATATACTTGTTTACATGTGTGTGGGTGCCCAAGGAGCCTCTAAGAGGGCACCAGGTCTCCAAGAGCTGCAGTCACAGGCTAGGAACCAAACTCAGCTTCCCTGGAAGAGCTGAAAGTGCTCTCAGCCATTGAGCAGTTTCTCCTGCCTCCCAACGATAGACTTCCGTGGTGTAAGTTGACTGACCAAGTTCACGTGCTGGAGTGTGAGGAGAGTGGGGTGAGGAGCCAGGCAAGGTTAGAACACGAGGCTGGGGAGAAAGTTCGGGGACTCAAGTGCCTGTCTTACAATCACAAGGACGTGAGTGGTGTGCGCTTATGACCCCAGCAGCACTGAGGAGGACCCCCGAGGACTGGGGGATCCCCGAGGCTCCCTGGCTGGCCATCCTAGCCTACACGGCTATTTCTGGGCCAGTAAGAGACCTTTGCCTTACAAAACAATGTGAACAGTGGACACTAATGTTGTCTTACAGCACACACACACACACACACACACACACACACACACACACACACACACGGTTAACATCTGAATAAAAACCAATGTCAGAGAAAGCCTGGAATACTCTCCCACCAAGGCTGATGTGTAGTATAGCATTTGCAGAACACATGAACGCTACGCAGATGTGCTGAAAGCCCGCCACGCTGAGACATGAGAATCCTGATATACACCATCCACCGTGGAACTCTGACCTTCCTCCAGCCCTGTTCCACTTCCATTTCCTGAAGTGTTTTTCTTTCAATAAACTATTTCTGTTTCACCACCGCTCCCATGTCCCTGATGCATGATGCAATTCCTTGCTCTGGGGTGCAAGAACCTGAAATCCTCTAGAAGCACCCTCCAGTGTCTAATGTCTGCCTGGAGCACCACAGACAGCCGCCATCCTCAGAAGGTCTTGGGAACACCTCACTCCTCACCTCAGACTCCTCCCCTTGACTTCCGTTCTAGAACCCCGAACACCCATCTCTATCCTGCTTGAATCCTCAAGGCTCTTAGTACACTGGATAAAGCGGCAGTTCTTCTGCTCCACATGAGGGGACAGACGGTCAACCGTCGCAGCCTGAGGAGTTCCTCTAATCTTTTAGGGACCGCACTCAGGCCAAGCCAGGATTCAGGATTCAGGATTCATTTCTTTGACACGGAAAAAAAAATTAGAACTAGGCAGTTTAGGAAGCAGAGTTGGGTTTCTTAGATATATTTTAACAAAAGCCTAATTAGGTGTAAGGGTTAGGAGAAAAAGTTGCTTGGCAACAGATGGAAAGATGCTGATGTGGGCTCGCTGGAAGTAACCCATACCCAAGTGTGGTGCAGGCTCCTGGAGCTGCTGTAACGAATGGCCTTGTTATTAGACATATATACCATCTTGGTGGCTCTCAGGTTACATTTCAAAAGATTGCTAAGAACCTCGTTTCATTTCTTTCTTTCTCTTTCTCTCTCTCTCTCTCTCTCTCTCTCTCTCTCTCTCTCTCGATGAGATTTCAGGGCAACTCTGGCAATAACTCTGGAGTTAAAATCTGATAAAATAAGACAAGAAATCATTAGGTCTGCACAAGGCTTTGCCACAGTCCCTTCCCTGTAAGGGGGGGGTTCTCTGATGGGGTTCTTAGAAACATCCAGGCTTATAGCTGGGAGAAGAAAGGCCACAAGTAGCTGTTAATTGTGCTGGATTTTTGCTTGCCTGCTGGTGGGTGGCTTCAGCTGATTTCCCAGGTGAGAGGCTCCGCTCCTGTCTCATATCTCCCCAGTTTTCCCTGTCTCTCTCTCCTACTTTACCCTGAGCTGTTTGACCTGATACCTCGATCTGCAGGAGTGTCACCTGTTGGCCGTACAACAACTCCCGGAAAATATCCTAGTTCTGTTTCACTGCTGGAGCAGCTGGCATGTGGGGAAGTCCCCACCGTTTACTGGAAGTGGACACCTTGTGAGGGAGGAGGTGACATTCAGCTGGTGATGAGCCACGGCCAGCTCTGCATGTCCACTTTTACTAACCCTATCTTGGTGTCACTTCCAAGGCTGTGGTGAAGTACCCTGACAAAGGCCACTTACAGGAGAAAGGGTCTATCTCAGTTCACAGTTCCAGGTCTCAGTCCATCACAGCAAGGAATGCAAGACGTGAATTTGAAGCAGCTACTTACATCCACCCAAAGTCAAGAGCAGAGAGAGATAAAAGTATGCTTGTCCTGTCTGATACAGTCAGGACCCTTAAATCAGGGAATGGTGCCTACAGTTTCAGGATGGGTCTTCCCACATCAAGACAGTCTCCCATAGACATGCCCACAGGCCAACTTGATCTCAAGTCTAGATTCTAGACAGCTCTTCATTGAGACCCTCTTGCTAGGTGATTGTAGGTTGTGTCAAGTTGACAATTAAAACTGACCACACGCCAGCCTGTACAAGCCTCACCTTAAACCTTAGAAATGCATTTGCTCCCTAAGACTCTGTTGTCACCTTAAGACTGTCACGTGCACATTGGTGTACTTAACCATTTCTGGGCATAAGCATGCAGCTTTATGACCCAAAACTAAAAAAGTTTTAGCATTAAAAAAATTGCCAAAATGGATGCACCCTGCCTAAGATGCATGAGGCCCTGACTTTCATCTCCAGCACCACATAAAGGAATGTGATTGGGCATGTCTGTAACTCCACACTCAGGAGGAACTGTCCAAGGGCATGTCTGATACATGCATGTGATCCCAGCAATAGGAGACAGAATCAGGCAGCTTCCAGGGTTCGCTGGCCAGTCGGCCACTACTAAGTTCCAGGTCTGAGAGATGTCTTGTTCCAAAAATCAAAAATGAACAAAAGTGGACAACACCCAAAGAAAGACGCCGGAAGTTGTTCCTTGACCTCCACAAACACATACACATATGCGTGCATGACCTACATGGAGAGCAAACCAATAAACAGTAAGCATGTATGAGCAAAGATGAAGGGGGGGCTGGAGACAAGGTCAGTCCGTCAAGGGCCTGGCTGCCCTGAAGACCTAAGTTCGGCTCCCACCACTCATATCAGGCTCTAAGCCTGAAACTCCAGCTTTAAGTGGATCTGAGATCTTCTGGCTTCTACAAGTAGGTGCACGCAAACACACACACACACACACACACACACACACACACACAGAAAGACACACATACATGCACACACATATACACACAAATAAAATAAAAATAAATCTTTTTTTTTAAATAGAAAAGCAGACACAGTCCAGTTTATTTGGGACTCATAATCCATCTTGTTGACAGCTGTATCCATTGTCTGGGCATTGCCTGTGCTTACAGTGTCCTCAACTAAAGACTGCCCACACCAAGAAGAGCATCTTCAATGTAGTATTCTTTATAGCTCACGATGGACTTGTCTTTCTTTTATAGAGGTTTATGCCAAGCTTCTGAACAATAAGGCCATCCAGGCCAGACCAGGCATAGTCCATTTTGGAGGCTACGAGATAGAGAAGCAGCACCAACAGATCCTGGTACGTACATTTTTGTTCCTAATTCAGATGGAGAGCAGGGGCCAGGGAGACGGCTCAAGGGAATAGTGCTCGCTGCACCAGCAGGGGCACCTTGTCACAGAGCTGGGTTTGTTGGCGTCGTCTGGTGAGCGAGATGCGGATAACGGGGCTTATGGCCTACAAGACTAGGTGAATTGAGCGCCAGGTAAAACTGAGAGTTGTTGTTTCAAAAATGGTGGTGGTGTGCAGTAAAATGACTCTGTGGGCAAAGGCGCTTACCGACAGGCTTCACAACCTAAATTCAAGCCGTGGACCCCCACACGGTAGAGGAAGGAAATTAGCTCCTACAACTTTTCCTCTGACCTCTGTAAGCATCCATGACACACACTACCTCCCATAAGGAAATAAACACAATAAAAATTTAAAGGTAGGGCCCAACAAGATAGATCAGCCAGTTAAAGGGCTTGGTGCCAACCCTGACAGCCTGAGTTCGAGCCCCAGGATCCCCACGGCAGAGTGAGGGAAGTCATCTGACTCCATCCGTGTGTCATGGCAATGCTCACCCTCCAAATAAATAAAATTGATGAGATAATGACTAGGAAAGTCACCCAACATTGTCTTCTGGCCTCCACACACATGCACACGTGTGTACAGGTGCTTGGACACACACAAATACTCACAGAGAAAGAGAAGGGGCAAGGGGAGAGGGAGGGACTGGCTTAGTCAGAAAGGTGGTTCCTTGAAGAGAAACTAGAAAGGGACATCGCTGTCCTGGAACATACTAACATCACTCTCTCCAAAATATGTCCCTCCTATGCCACGTGGGGACCAGCGTCTGGACTTCCCAGTAGCCCTGTGTACGGGCATCTAGAGAAACACAGTTCCCAAAGTGGAAACTCCTCGTTCCAGTACACAGGGTACTGAGTGAGGGGGACGGAACTGCATTCTGCACTGTCTTCCTCCAGACCAGTGTGGAGGGAGGAGGATGCAGGCAGGGCTGCCTCTGACCTGCTCTGGCCAGGTGCCAGGTGCCAGGTGCCTGCCCAGAGAAGATGCCTAGGTCTGGGAGGAGGTGGTGGTCACTCTCTCTGCCAGAATGGCTGAGTGGGGCCTGGCAAGAATGACTGAATGAGGCGTGGCACCTCTTTGCTGTCCCTTTTCACCCTGTGGGTGGGGATTCAGATATTAACATGAGCAACATGAGTGGACAGGAGCGATGACTTAACAGTTAAACATGCATACTACTTGTTTTGTTGTTGTTGTTTTGTTTTGTTTTTTTGTTTTTTACAAAAAATTATTTCCATTCTAACCAATTTTCCCAAACATTAAGAACAAGTTAGTTATTAAAAACATGTTAAACATTAAGAACACCTGGTTAAGGATGATGGAGCCAAACGCACCCAAGCGTCAGTACCTTCTACTCTGCGGTACTCTGAACCAGCTGTTTAATCTATCCCACACCCATAAACTATGTCAATACCTATTGGATTAAGCTAGTGCATACTACTCGTAGGAGGACCTGACTTTGGTTCCCAGCACCCATGATAGGCAGTTCACAGCTACCTGTAACTCCAGCTCCCCCGCCTCACAGGCCAACGTGTACGTGTACAAACACAAAGGCACACGTGTGTGCATAATTAAAGATAAGCTCTGAAGTCTCAACTGTGCTTCACCCTGTCGGAGGGCAGCCACATACCTGTCTCTTTTCATATTGCGACTTCCTCAGAGCCCAGCACATGCTTGACACACAGAAGACACCCAATAAACACTTGGAAAGGAAAGACTTGGACTTGGAAGTTCACACACTCAGTAAGGACAGTGTTGTGTAAAACATCACATTGATTTTATAAGACATTAAAACAAACAAGAAGGTAAAAGTATAGTGTTGTGTAAAGCATCACATTGATTTTATCAGACATTAAAACAAACAAGAAGATAAAAGTACAACATGATTTCATCTTAATAGCATTCAGAGAGACCCTGGGAAAGCCAACTTCCTGTTCCTGTCAGTAAAGCTAAACAGAAGCCCAAAGCAATTACCTTAAGATTCTTATCCAAAGCATTCAGACCTGTTAGAAGTGCTGGGAATAGTGCCTGTCTGGGCTCAGTCGCAGAGGCGTCTACACGGACCTGCTTCCTCACCCACAATGCTCAGGGAATTAATGAAGGGAGGACAGGGAGAATGTAAGAGCCAGACGATGGGAAGAGTGCCGTGAAATGCAGTCTTCTGGACACTGGCTGTGCACAGAGCTCACCGCAGCTACAGCTGCCTGCACAAAACCTGCACAAGAACCAGCCGGGCAAAGTGCCAGCAAGACTTGGGGAATGACTACTGAGGCCCACCCCTAACTGATGAGCTATTGGCAATTGATGGCCACCAGTGTGGGGGGGGGTTATTTTCTTCTGCGGTGTGTTAACTGCAGGGTGCTTATGCCCAGTGGGCCTCACACTCATGCACATATGGGCTGCCCTAAATTCAAAAAGATTCTTGCCAAACAAGGGGAGAATTTTTAACTGTTCTGTCTTACTGGGGTTTCCTCTCTAACCCAAAGTCAACAGAAGTCTTTTATCATGCCAAAAAAAAATGATGCTAAATCATTCTCGTGTTCCGGGACTCTACAGTGGGGAACCTAAGGTCGCCATCATCAGCCTCCTGCACGGTTTCTTTTTCAGAAACACAGACAGCATCTAAAACCTTTCTCACAGCCTTGCTTGTGACTGCTGTGGATTGCTGAGTCCAAGCAGCTGAGCTCAAAACAAGTGCGGTATCAAGCCCTTCAAGGATTAACTCCGGGCTTGATGTCCTGAACTTGCAATATCTGTGCTGTCCCAAACCCTGCAGTTCAACCCTGGACCCTTTGTTCTGAATGATGATGTAGGTGGGACGGGGGCACCAGCTTGGACACACTCAGAGCTCTTCTTGAAATGGAAGCAGGGTCTAACAGCCTTGGACTTGTTCTGGGCAAGGCTACAGACGGTTCAGGTAGTAGCCAGCTCCTGTTGGTTTCCTGTCCTGTTCAACTGGGGTCTCCTTTGCTTTCCAAGGAGAGTGAGCCCCACCTTGACACCATTGACGTCTCTCAGGATGGTTCACAGTAATTGCACCCTCTCAGAGTGAGGTAGACATTTCCTGGAACATGTGTCATCTGAGATGGTCTTCATTCTTGTAGTAGGTGGGACAAAGGCTTGACTAGGTTTTGGCACAGGAAACTATGCAAATTGCCCACAGGTGGAATGACTGGGTGTCCGCTCAGTTGCACTGAGGTCACGTGACTCTAAAGGGTTTGAAGCCTTCTATTTGCGTGCATATTAATATCAGTGCTTCAGTCTATGGGGAAATTTTAAACAATGATCTTTGTTTGGTTTTAATTTTTCAAAACCCAAGACCCCTTACATTTTTTTTCTTGTTTAGGGAAACACAAATTATATTTATTAATAAATAAGCCCTCACTTCTCCTAAGAGACAGCCAGTGTGGTTGTGGGCCCAGACCTGTACCAAGCAGTGCCCTCTGACTTTCTGTTACAGCTACTAAGGAAGGACTGTACCCTTCCAAGATGTTGATTCTCAAAGTTTAGGGCCAGGACTAGCAATGTCTTCTCTTCAGGACTTAGGAACGTGGAACCTTAACACCACAGTGTGGGCGCAGTGCATCCTACCCGAGCGTTAGCGTGGTTTAGTCATCAGTGGGTCGTGAATTCAGGAATTAGGTAAAAATCAACAAAATCATTTGATTATCTATTTTATCCATATATATGAAAATGGTCTATGTGAATGTATGACACATACGTGTGGGTTCCCTCAGGAAGCCAGAAGAGGGCTTGGTAGCCTCTGGAGCTGCAGGTACAGGCTCCACCATACATGTGTGTTGTGTGCGTGCATGTGAGTGATAGTGCCTGTGGAGCCTGCTGGATCTGGGCTTAGAGGTGCTGTAAGCCTCCTGGTGTGAGTGCTGGCAACTGAAACCCTCTCTAAGAGCAGAAGGCACCCTTAACTGCAGAGTTCTCTGCAGTCCTAACAAAATCATTTTGTGGTAATCAGTTGACAATTTAGAACTTGAAATTAAAAGCATCACGTGTCTTTTTTAAGCTGTGTGTTATTGATCACATAAACATTATATTACATATAAACATATGAACATAAATGCACATATACTTATAACACATGTACTAAGAAGAAAGGAAAAATCAGTTGTTTTCTAATTCTTATTCTCTATTTTCTCTCTCTCGTTCTTGCTCTCCTGTGTGTGCATGTGTGTGTGTGTACGTGCGTGTGTGTGTATGTGTGTGTGTGTATGTGAGGGCATGTACCCTTATGTGTGCATCATGCGCACAAGGAAACCAGAAGAGGGCATGGGTGTCTTCTTCAACCACTTTCTATCATATTTTTGAGACAGAGTCTCTTCCTGAACCTGAGCTAATCCTTCCTTCCAGACTTGCTGGTCAAGCAGCCCTAGGGAGTCTCCCTCCATCTCCTCCCCAGCATTGAAGTTTATTGATACAAACTGCTGTGGCCATACCCAGATTTTCACATGGGCTTCTGGGGATCTAAACTCACTTCCTCATGCTTGCCCAGCAAGAAACTCACTGGCTGAGTCATCTCCCATCCCATATCTCATGTATTTAAAAAACTTAATATAATGAGCCCTCGAATCTTCTTTGTAATAAAGATAAGGTATAATCAATGAAAAATAATGACTATATAAATAATCAAATTCAAGCTCACCTTTTTCTCCCCCAGCACATTGCCAATATTTCCGATGAAGACACACACCTTCAAATCTTACCACCGCAGACCAAGTACTTCAGGATCGCGTATGAGAAGAAGGTACTGTCCCTGGGTCCCCTTCCCTGCTGAGGAGCTGTGGGATGAGCTGTGGCTTCTGCCTCAGGCCTGCTAGGACACGAGTGTGCGCATCCTTCATCCCACCCCACTGTAGTGCTGCTGTCTGCCCGCTCTGGGGCCAGCCCCAACCCAGCCTACCTGCCTTCCAGGAGCATCGCCTCATCCCGGGCTTGTCCCTCATGGTCACGGTTATGTTTTCTCCCGACGAGTGGCGTTACTATTACGACTGCATCCGCATTCACTGTAAGGTGAGTTTCTGGAAGGACTGGGGATGTGGGGCATGTGTGAAGAGGGATATGGGGGGTACTCCATATCCTGAAGGAAGATGAAGAAGAGCAAGAAGAACCTGTAGTTTCTCAGTGTTGTAGGAACTAGATGGCTCACAGTTGTAGCTTCCGCCCTGCTGGGAAAGGATTTGGACAGGGCAAGCCTTGGCAGGCTCCCAAAACATCTTGCTGGTCTCTGCTAGTGTCTGATACTTAACACATCATAGTCTGGAGAGAACTCTCTGAGTGGTGGATGAGGTTGTAGGCTCAGGGCCTCAGACGTTAGGCCTCAGAGAACCTGGGAAGACTCCCTGGACACTGCACTGCCGTCCTCCAATGCCCGGGCCAAACCATTTATCCTGTGCTGCTAGGGCTCCGGGAAAGCTGTGTCCAGCAACATTTATGTGCTCCTTTAAGCTCCTATATATATACACAATAAAACTAAAAAACAAGGAAATAAATGCATAAAAGCTGAATATTCTAGCATAATACAATCTAAAGGAACATAATATTCCTATAAGAACAGAATTATTTCACATGTACAACTCAAAAACTTGACAAATAATAGCATGCAGTAGTCTTAAATCTGAGCCAGAGTGTCTCAGTCACTGTTGGCTGTCATCGTTCAAGCTCACAGCATGCGTGATGCAAGTGTACATGTGAGCTCACAGCATGCATGATGCAAGTGTACATGTGAGCTCACAGCATGCATGATGCAAGTGTACATGTGAGCTCACAGCATGCATGATGCAAGTGTACATGTGAGCTCACAGCATGCATGATGCAAGTGTACATGTGAGGTCACAGCATGCATGATGCAAGTGTACATGTGAGGTCACACTCAGTATGCATGATGCAAGTGTACATGTGAGCTCACAGCATGTGTGATGCAAGTGTACATGTGAGCTCACAGCATGCATGATGCAAGTGTACATGTGAGGTCACAGAATGCGTGGTGCAAGTGCACATGTCCCACATTCAGAACCAAGGCTACAGTGACATCAAGCAATGAACCATGGGTGAGTATCACTAGAAACATCTCAGATTCATCATGCATTTGATTTTTAAATTAATTTTTGTCATTGCACATTTAGAAGCCTTTAATATTACCAAATATTTTTAAACTCCTTATTCAGTTATGTGACCTCGGACAGAGTCAAGAAGCCGGGGTGTAGAGTCCAAGAGCACAATTCATAAGGCAAATAAAGACATTCCATGTTGATGTGGTAATTTTTACATCTAAAACTGTAGCTGACTTTGATTTTTAAATATATCCTCCTCAACAGCAAGTATGACTATATCTACTTTGTTGAGGACCAAACGAACCTGGAGAAATCAAAGGCCTTGTTCAAGATCACCACCAAACTAGAATGAACTAGAACTGGTCTTTGTGCTCTCTTCCTGCTGAATGACTTTCCATTCTGCCTTGCAATTCTCCTGGCTCCCTAAATATTATCTTCCCTTATAACTTCTCCAGGTGGAAGCAGATAGCACAGCATCTTTGTATTTACTCAGGGGGATTAGTACCTTTACCTTTCACGGGTAACAGAAAGCATCATTCCAGTAAAGTAGACTGAAGCATCTTTTGTGTTTTGTTTCTGGTTTAAAAATGCAAGTTTTCAGCGTTGAGAGATGGCTCGGTCAGTAAAGGACCTGCCATGCAAGCATGAGGACCTGAGCTTGATCCTTAGAACACACTTTTTGAAAATGCTGGGCTTGGTGGTATGGGCTTGTCATCTCATTGCAGGGGTGGGGCACAGACAAGAGGATTCCTGGGCTCTATTGCTAGCTATCCTAGAATATTTGGTTAAGTTCCAGGCCAGCGAGAGACCTTGTCTACATAATAAAAGGTGGATGTCACCGAAACAGCGATAGCCGAAGTTTTGGCTTCCACATGCATGCACACACCCATGCAAATGCGTCTACAGACATGGCCACACACATACACTCCCAAAAGAAACCCAGTATTTCTAATGTTTTCCTAAAAGTGCTGAGGTTTCCTAAGAAAATTCTTTAACGATTAAAAATGTTTATCTTTCAAAATGATAGTTTTCCAAACGCTAAATTTAACCCATTCCCCAATTTCAGGGAGATGACACCTTGCTTGTTCCCATTCATGCCTACCCTGTCTTGAATAACCTGGACTTCCCCACATTCATAAATCTATCCGATGTCCTCCTTGGAGAGAGGTAAGTTCCCAGCGTGACCCAGTATGATGTCACAGGATGTGAAAGGTTAAGAAACCGAGGACTGAGGGATGGCTCAGCAGTTGAGAACACTTTCTTGCAGAGAACCAGAGTTCAGTTCCCAGCACCCACATCGAGTGACTTACAACCACCTTAACTCCAGCTGCAGGGGATCTGACCCCATCTTTTCACCCCTGCAGGTACCCATGCACAAACACACATAGACATGCTGCATACATACACAGAAATTTTTTTTTAATTAAGAAACTTACAAATAGGGCAGGGGAGATGGCTAAGGGAGTAAGAGTGATTGCCGCACAATCATGAGGATCTGATTGGGATCAAATCCCAAGTGTATAAAAAGATAGCTAGGTGTGGTGTGGTAGTTTGAATGTAGTTGGCCCCATAATCTCATAGGGAGTGGCATTGTTAGGAGGTGTGGCTTTGTCGAAGTGGGTGTGGCCTTGTTGGAAGAAGTGTGTCACTGTGGGGTGGGCTTTGAGGTTTCCTATGCTCAGAATACTGCCTAGTGTGTTAGCCAACTTCCTTTTGCTGGCAAGATATAGGACCCTCAGTTCCAGCACCACTCTGCCTGCCTGCAGCCATGCTCGCTGCCATGGTAATAATGGACTGAACCTCTCAAACTGTAAGCCGCCACCCCAACTGACTGTTTTCCTCATATGAGTCGCCATGGTTGTGGTGTCTCTTCACAGCAGTAACACTAAGACATGTGGTCACATGCACTTGTAACCCAAGTACTGGAGTTGGTGGAGACAAGGAGAATCACGGGGTCTCCCGGCTAGCCAGCCTAGCAGAAACATGACAAGCTTGAGGGTGCTGGTGGGTTTCGTTGATGTTGTTGTCAACTTGATACAAGCTATCTGGGAAGGAGGACCAGCAGCTGAGAAAACACCTCCATCAGACTGGCTTGTAGGCAAGCCTGAGGGGCATTTTCTTGATTAATGATGGATGTGGGAGGGCCCAGCCCACTGTGGGCCATGTCACCCTAGACAGATAGTCCTGGGTTGTCTAAGAAAGCAAGCTGAGGAAACATGGAGAGCAAGGCAGGAAGCAGCGTTCTTCCATCCAGGCTCCGGCCTTGGCTTCCCTCAGTGATCTACTGTAAAATGTAAGCTGAAATAAACCCTTTCCTTCTCAAGTTGCTTTGGGCATGGTGTTTATCACAGGAAGAAAACCAGAACACTCAAGGCTCAGTGAGATCCTGTCTGCAGGAATAAGGTGACAGGAAAAGTCCCCTGGCATGCTTCTCTGGCCTCCACACAGAAGCACATGGGGGCAGTGTGTGCCTCTACACACATACACACATCACACAACACACACACACAAACACCTTCACAGGAGAAAATGTAGACTTGTGATTTTTCTTTAGGTACAGTTAATCCTTGCACCTCAGGCAGGGTTTATAGCAGCGGAAGACAAAACAACATGGTTCAAACAATCCAACCAAACCAGGTCAAAATGCCATTAAGAAGGAAGTGGGGTGTATTGGCTTACTTGAACTCTCCAGGTAGGGCTGAATCCAGAATCGGATGGAACACCCTGGTTCTTCCCATGTCCTCTTTCTGCTGCCCGAGCTGTCCTTCTCATAGAACCCTCTCACAGCAGGCAAGACAGTGACCCATGATAGCCTGGAATAAAGGTGACAGGAGGGGCTCAAGAATTAGGCCAGAACTTATGACTGTGTCTATGGACCAGCTTGGATCATATGATTTTCCATTACCCAGTCTTCTTTAGAAGAAAGGAAAGCAAGTGAGACCAGACCTCAGAGTCTGTTCTTCCTGTTGAGCAAATGGCTACTTATTCCAATTGTGGTTCAGTTTATATCTCATCCTCGTGTGTGTGTGTGTCAGTTTATATCTCATCCTCGTGTGTGTGTGTGTCTGTCTGTCTGTCTGCCTGTCTGTCTGTCCATTTGTCTGTGTGTGTGTGTCTGTGTGTGTGTCTGTGTGTCTGTGTCTGTATGTCTGTGTCTGTGTGTCTGTCCATGTGTGTGTCTGTGTGTGTGTGTCTGTGTGGGTGTCTGTGTGTCTGTCCGTGTGTCTGTGTGTCTGTATGTGTGTCTGTGTGTCTGTCCGTGTGTCTGTGTATGTTTGTATCTGTGGCGGGTGCCAGAAGGTAACCTCAGATGTTGCTCCTCAGGTGACAATCAGTTTTTGTTTATGTTTATTGACTCTTTTGAGACAGGACCTTTCATTGGTTTGGAACTTGCCCAGTAGTCTAGACTACCTGGCCTGTGAGCCCCAAGGATCTGCCTGTCTCCACCTCCCCGGCACTGGGATTACAAGTGCACAGACCAACGTGCCTGGCTTTCTAATACATGGGTTCTGGGGATCAGACTTAGGTCCCCATACTTTTACCAACCTATCTCCCCAATCCTGCGTATCTCACTCTTCCAGCAAATACTAAATGCCTACCAGCAGGCACAGTGCCATCTGCCCTAGAGATGTCAAGGAGATGCTAATGGACTGCTCGCTGTACATACAGAGAGGCCATGTTGGCTCTTCAGAGCTTGAAATACTGAGCTCAGGTTACATAGAGAGCTGGTCTCTAAACAAAAAATATTGAAATCCTTTTTCCAGCCAGAGAGATGGCTCAGTGGAAAGATGTACTTGCTTCCGAGCCAGACAACCTGAGTTCAGTTCCTGGAAGAAACCCACATGGTCAAAGGAGAGAGCCCACTCCTACAGGTTATCTTATGACCAGGACACACACGTGTGACACTCTCAATGAATGATAAGAATTGCTTGTTTTTTTCAAAACAGAGTTTCTCTGTGTAGCCCTGGTTGCCCTGGAACTCCCTCTGTAGATCAGGCTGCCTCGAACTCAGGCATCTGCCTGCTTCTTAAGTGCTGGGATTAAAGGCATGCACCTTTTATTTTATTTTATCTCTTTCTTTAGATAAATCTGTCCACTCTTAGGAAATCCCTACTGCCCTGAACTCCATGTCCCCGGCCCTCCCCTGGCTACCTCCCCTCTCCAGTTCTGATCAAATACCCTGACAAAAATGACTGAAAGAGGAACAGGGTTACGTTGAACTACAGTTGAGAGGGACAGAATCCTCAAGGTGGGGAAGACATGACTCCAGGCAGAAAGGGGTGGCCATAGGAGCAGGAAGCTGGCTGGTCACATTTTCATCCGTACACAGAAGAGAGAGAACTGCCAGTGGGGTGAGGCCTGAAGCCTCCCCCATCCCCTGGGACGTACGGCCTCCAGCAAGGCCCCTACCTCCTAAAGGCTCTGCAGCCCTCCCGGATCTCAGCAGCAGCAAATGTTCTAGCATCTGCTCCAACGGGGAGGCTTCACGTTCAAACCCCAGCACCCCCTGAGCATCCCCCAGCACCCGGCTTATCCGTTCTTGGCCCCATGCCTTCCTCCCCATTTCTCTAAAACCATTCTGACTGAACTACATACCAGTACCTTCTCCTTCTCCGTCATCTCAAGCTCTAAATGTCAACTGGCTGCACTTGGGAAGCAAATAGCTGATCCCTGTAGGTGGGCAACGCGGACATTTTATCAAAGCCAGTGCACCAGGGAGCAGGAACTCCCTGAGACACAAGTTTCTCTTGCCGTCTAGAAACCGCCTCTCATTTGGGCCACAAACAAGGCTATGGGATGAGGGGAAACGGCATAAGAAAGTGGTGCAAACAGCAAGGCCTTGTACTGTGGTCATCAGTCACCGGCCCAGGAAGCAGATGTCCACCCTCCCGGGGCCTCCCCCAAGCTATTTTCCACATAATGCGCCTCATTTGTATTCAGAATGAAAAATTCAGCTAAACAATTTACTTAATCGAGTTACTGTTTATAATGGTATAATATATTTTTTAAAAATCTCTTAAAAGATAAACACGCTATTTTTCTCCTGCAGACATCCTGGCAGCAGGCAGTACCTTCCCAAGTTTCTGCCTCTCAGTCCCTTTAGCAGCATTTGGCCACCCAGACCCTTCCTTGCTTCATTTGGTCCAAGCCGTGCAATAGCAGAATGATGTATCTGAACAGGCATTTCCCGAAAGTGTTCCGTATGAATCCCGGCCACCTTAGTGGTCCAGTGCATCGTTTGGATGGGTTCTTTATCCAGCATCCATTCCATTCATTCGTTCATCTCTCAAATGCCTGATGTGTTAGGTACAGTCCCAGTCCACTGTTTGTTGCTATAATAAAATAGCTGAGACTCGGTGAGTTATGAAGAAGAGCACAATTCAGCTCTTCATTTTGGAGGCTGGGAAGAGCATGGTGCAGCACCCTCAGCTTCTAGGCAGAACCTATAGGAGATAAAGCAGGTAAAAGAGACAAGACGGGGCCCTTTATCAGTTACATCACTGCCGTGACAGTGAGGAAGGCAGGGAAGGTTGGTTGTGGCTCACAGCTTGGAGAATGCAGTCCATCTCAGCGGGGAAGGCAAGGCAGCAGGGGAGTGAGGCAGGCGTGTGACCATAGTCAGGACACAGAAAGAGATAAACGAAACTGGTGCCCAGCTTCCTTTCCTTTTTAGTGAGTCTAGGATCCCAGCCCACATTCAGGGCAGATGGTCTTCTCTCTCTCTCTCTCTCTCTCTCTCTCTCTCTCTCTCTCTCTCTCTCTCTCTCTCTCTGATTTTCCAAGACAGGGTTTCTCTGTAGCTTTAGAGCCTGTCCTGAAACTAGCTCTTGTAGACCAGGCTGGCCTCAAACTCGCAGAGATCCGCCTACCTCTGCCTCCCGAGTGCTGGGATTAAAGGCGTGCACCACCACCACCCGGCTTCTTCTCTTTCTTATGTGAATTGTTGGTATTAGAATCAGGTCCTCACGCTAGGAGGGCAAGCACTTTACCAACTGAGCCATCTCCCCAGGGGCGTGTATGTTTTCTTAAAATGTCTCAGTAAGAAAACCATTTCTTCTACCAAAGAAGAACCCCTGGGCATTATGAAGTGGAAAAGCAGGAGAAGGTTCTAAACCCATCGAAGGGCAGGGATCTGGTTTTGCTCTCTTTCTGTGGCAAATACTCTG